GCCGCCGCCCTCGGCCCCGTCCGAGGAACCGTGTGGTGAGCTAAGGCCGGGTTCAACCCGCTGTCAGAGAGGCAAAACCGAAAAGTCCCACCTTTCCCCAGTGGTGGTCTTGGACCCTCAAGAAGTGGCGGTGTGGCTGGCAAGCATGAAACTCAACAAAAAGGCAGATACTCAACCCCCCTGCCAGGAGCCGGTATCTCCTCTAGGCCCTCAAAGAGTCTTGGAGAATAAATATGGAAAGGGCAGGGCTGTCCCTGGCGAGGGAAGCACCTGTAGGAGAGCCTGCATCAGCGGCTTCAGCGCCAGCCGCTGGGGGAGGCAAACGAGACAACGTCCAAAAAGGCACAAAACTAAGAAGAGACAGCAGCAGCCTAATAACTCCCTCTTCCAATCACAGATGAGGCAAAAACGAATGAAGAGGGATGTTCTGGAGATGTCTGCAGATATAAGAGACTATGACTACTCCCTCCTCAATAGCCCCCATTCCTGGGGTAGACTTCGAGCATCTTTGTCCTTCCATAAGAAGAAGAAAGTTGCCACCGCAGAAGACAGTTCCTGCAACAGCATCCTTTGCACCCCCTCTGTGAAATCCCACCTTTCAAGACACCAAACAACCTTCTCTTCTGGTAAGGCCCAGTGCTGCACTTGGTCTGCTTCCTCCATGGTCCTGCTGGCTCCCATGAATTCCTGTTCTGCCCTGGAACTAATGCTTACAGATGCAGATAAAGTTTTTGGAGAATGCCAGCAGGAGGGGCCTATCACTTTTGAGGAATGCATTCCTCTAGATAAGATGAAAAATTGCAAGAAAATTGGAGAAGGGGTGTTTGGAGAAGTCTTCCAGATCAACAGTGAGAGAGGACCTGTGGCCTTAAAAATAATTCCCATTGAGGGGACTGAAAGAGTAAATGGTGAAGCTCAGAAGAGCTTTGGAGAGATTCTGCCTGAGATAATAATTTCAAAAGAACTCAGTCTTCTGTCTGAAGAGTCTGTGAATAGCACTGTTGGGTTCATCAGCTTGTACTCTGTGCACTGCGTTCAAGGGGCCTATCCCAAGTATCTCCTGAAAGCCTGGGACAAATACCACAAAGTAACAGGATCAGAAAATGATCGACCAGACCTTTTTGGGGACGAGCAGCTCTTCATGGTTCTGGAGTTTGAATTTGGAGGCAGCGACTTGGAGAATATGAGAAAGAACCTCAGTTCAGTGGCATCAGCAAAAAGCATTTTGCACCAGATCACTGCTTCCCTGGCTGTGGCAGAACAGGAACTGCACTTCGAGCACAGAGACTTGCACTGGGGGAACGTGCTGGTAAAGAAAACGGATGTAAGGGAGCTTAATTATGTGTTGAATGGGGCAACACACACAATCCCCACTTCAGGGCTTCACGTCAACATCATAGATTATACCTTGTCACGGCTGGAAAAGGACGGGTTAACTGTGTTTTGTGACCTTTCCACTGATGAAGAATTGTTTCAAGGCACAGGAGACTATCAGTTTGATATCTACAGGCAAATGAAAGTGGAGAACTCCAACAACTGGACTGACTACCATCCACACAGCAACGTCCTCTGGCTGCACTACTTGTCAGATAAACTTTTGAAAGACATGGTCTACAGGAAAAAGGAATTGACTTCTTCCATGAGGAAAACAAAGCAGCAGCTCATTAAGTTCCATAAAGAAGTACTGACCTTTGAGTCTGCCAGTGAAGTTTTACAAAACAGCAGCCTCTTCCAGTGAGCAAGAGCTCAGGGTTTCCAAGGACTAAGTCACTGATACATAAAAAACAGCAAAGGAGAAAGGCAGTATGATGTTTTCAAATGTTGGCACAACAAAAAAGTGTTATGATTGGTTATCAGTGTGTATAACATGCTATCAAAAATTTCTAAAACACCCGAAAAAGTCTTCTCCTTTAAGATGTTTCCATATGTACTTTTTTTGAGGGGTGATGGGGCCAAGAAAGAGCTGAGTTGATGTTTGAGCAGAGGAGAAAAAGATTTCTTCAGGCTCAAATAATGTTTTGAATTCCACAGAAATCTTACCTTTTAGTCTTAGATTATTAAAATTTTTTTCTTACTATATTGTCTTTCTTACAAATTATTTTTTTAAAGAAAAAACCCCACATGATTCTGGACGGTGAGGACAAAGGTAAATAGTCAGCTGGGAACAGAGAAGGGAAACCCCACCTTCTGACTTAGTTTTAAAACTGAACTTTTTGTTCAGTTTGGCAAAATTTGTACCTGGAATGATGCTATAAAATGTAAATACATAAAGTTTCTGTAGTGTAGGTTTTTAAAACACTGTAATCTGCAGTAATATGGGAGCAATTTCCCTCTCTTAAGGGAAAAGGCATTAGATTATGAAAAAAAAGTACCTGTGTTCCTGATGCATTTTTGACCATTATTATGTTGTGACCTTGTATACTGACAGGAACCCAAATCTGTAACTTGATGGTAGCGTTAAAGTGACTCCCCATTTATCTACAGAAGAAAATGCAGAGTGTAGTAAGTGTTCTTTAGTCCTGATTGCAGGTGGATCAGGTGACCTAAATTTGAAACTATACTTACATTAAATCTGAATTCTTTGTTTTCGGGAAGTCCTTCACTAACATTCACATACATTAAAAGAAACTGGTCTAAAGAGAACGGTAAGTCAAACTTAAGTGAAAAGTGAATTAGATAATTACTAAAAATTAGTACATCCAGTGACCCAGATGCATTGAGTAATTGAGAGGTAGCATCATCAGATTTGTTATAACTGGAATCTGTCTATGCAGTCTGTCTCTATATGTGTGCACATATATAGTCTATCAATTAGATGCACCTTTGAACCTATCTCAAAGTCTGTTGGGTTTTGGTGGGTTTTTTTTTTTTTTTACAAGCTAAGCTTAGACACCCTGGGTACCCCCCTGCCTCTGACATGGATTTATTGTTGTCTTCCAAACTTTACTTTTGCTGCCTAGTACCACAGAAAGTGACTTGACAATCTTCAGTGCTTGAAATTATTAAGATGGAAATTGTACTGGAATCTTACCAGGTATCCTCTCAATCTTTGTGCCCCTCTAATTGACTGAAGTAATGCAATATAACTGAATATTCTTAAAACATACTCGGTAAGGACTGCAGTGAACACGTATCTGACATCAGGGACATGTTCTTCAGTCAGAATGGTGCTATTTTCATTTATGCTTAGAAAAAAGATGGGTGAAATATTATCTGCCTGCCTTGATCCTTTATTTGTATTGAGAACTACTAATATTGGCTGTACAAGAGAGATGGAAACAGACTGGCAGTAATTAGTGAAAGGAGAGGTGCCAGCCCACTTGGTGACATGGTGCAGTTGTGTCTGAGAAGCCTTTTATTACCACAGATTTCGAAAGAATAGTGGCTCTGGCCTAATTGTAGACATAAAGGATGCAAGAGCAGCGACTCAAAAGTGTCATTTAGAGGTAAGGAAAAAGTGAAAATAATGCTCTCTACTTACAGTCCTCATCTTGAATACTGGATGCCCGATTCTGCAGTTACAGGATAAGAGTACTGAAGTTAATGGTATTGGTTGGCCACGCTGAATAGCAGGGGAGGATGGCTGCCAACAAGAATAGGAATGCTCTTTAATGTTGAATAAAAACAGACTGTGAAATTCAGCTCAGTGTGTCTGCTCCCATAAAACAAATTAGGTACAAATAGCCCAATAAAAGCTGGGGAGTCTTAAATCAGATAAATTCAGGCTCTAGTCCTAACAACTGAAATGCTCCTTCCCTTCCCTTGACCTTCAGGATTTATTTAGGTAGTAAATACGAGTTTGTGCTGGGTTTTCTTTCAGCAGTCTGCTGCTAGCAGATGACTACAATCTTACCTCAACAGTCATCTTCTTAAAATAGAGGTTTTTAGGATAGTTCAAGACCATAGTTGTCACGTACGAGCCATCTCCACTGGTCGTTAGTGAAACAAACTTGGTTTCATGGTCACTTCTTTAGTGTGGCCCATCGCTAATTCCTTTCTAGAAGCAGACAGAAAATGAGATGGGTGACATGTAATTTCTAAGGGTTGTTATTTAATAAAAGGCCTGAAGCACTCTGGTTCTGGAAATTACTCCCTCTGAATGCTTTCACACACAGGATAATGCAAGAGCCCAATTAATTATTCAGTATTCTTCAGGGTGTAGGAAAATGGTGCGTTCTTAATGTCAAAGGCAGTCTCCTCCAAACTTTATGTAATATTTTATCGTTTCTGTTTTACATCAAGATAGACTTTAAGCATTGTTCCACTTGCTTAGCTTTTCAGTGAATCTCCGGGGTAAATTTTTTACAATGAAGTGATGCCTACTGTTTTGTCTAAGGCTGTGTAAACTGAGCAACCCTTTGCTGTAGCACTAGGCTGTGCATCAGCCTAAACCAAAATTACATGCTCACAATTAAATGCCAGAATTGTAATTTTAGGGTGGCTATAGTTGTTTAAACCTTGGTCTTTCCTCTGAGATTTCCTAGAACAGCCCAGCACTGCCCACGGAGGCATACAGTTACAGCATTGTGTGATCGTGATGTTATGGAAAGGATGAACTGGATGGAAATTAATGTAAACAAAGGGACAGCAAATCTTGCCTGAGAATTTGAAGAAAACGTCTTATGCACAAAGATGACATTTTAGATGAATACTAAATGCAAAGTCTGGATAATACAACTACTGTGACTCACTGAATCTGACTTGTCAAAGTTAAACAAGCAGTACAGACGGTCTCGTTGTTGCAGTCCTTCTTGTGAGGCAACTGAAAGCAAACACAGATCAAGTCACAGTTTACCAGTCCTAATTTTTCTAAGGTAGCAGATTCAGAATATCTTCACGTACACACATACATTCTCTGAAAACCAAAATTCCCAGGACCTCAATTAAGGAGAAGTTGGAAAAGTGATAAGTCAGTCCTGAACTAATGGTGTTTTGTAACTCAACTCACAGGGGAGTAACATGAGAAGTTACAGCAAAACCATGAAAAACCTTCACTGGGGACAAGGTCTTGTCAAAGAAACGCCAGTTGTTTACCCCTGGATTGCCACAGGGCAGTAATATTAATTTCCAGAGATGATATACTTTTCTTGGATAAATATGTTGCTATGCTGTGCCAGCTTATAGGCACACTATTTTTTAGAGATGAGGTTATTCCCTTTAGCAATAGTTTATTCACCAATAAAAATCTACTGCCTGTGGCTGATATTTCTGGAGAAGTTCAGTGATAATTAATAATTAGGTGTTGGGTGCATAAGCACTAAGCAATGCTGACCAACACTCAAGAACCTCATAAATTATTCTTGGGAAATAGATGTACCATCAACATCATAATCCCTAAAAGTACCGCAACCATAGTAATTAGTGTTCGTTATTGCTCAGTGCTAAATGTTGTCCTGACTTCTCTGTCCTGTGCTTTATGGACAGCTCATTAAATACTGAGTTGTGGTAAAGCCTCCTATTAAGTATCAAAAAGCTGCCCCTTTACAGAGCTTTATGGAATTTTTTTTAGAAACTGATTTGGATTTCAGACTAAAAAAGAGCTAGGTTAGTTTAGTTTGTAGGAATCCTGCTTACTAAATTGCAAGAGAGGAGACAGGATTATCAGACTTAACCTTTCAGTTTATTAGAAGTTTGCAGCCTCCTAAACAGCAATTTGGATATACATAATTAATGATTTTTTAAATTACTTCATTAGAAAATTTTATAGTTGTTACTACCAAATACACTGTTCAAGTAATAAGTCTTTATATGATTTCCAGTGGAACGCTCAATATCCAAAAAGTACTTCACAGAACACACAAACCGTCTGCTCTCTTCACGGGTATTATCTAATCTCATTTTATACAAAGGCACAGGAGAAACATGGACAAAAGTGAGGCAATTTTTTAGCAGATCTGAGGTTGGACCTTTGAGGTGAGACTTTTAACAAGGTATGAGTATGTGTTTGGAGAGAACCTGGGCCTAAAGTCTGCCTAGAATACAGTATTGGTAACTAGAAAAGGAGCAGAGGGCAGAAGGTGACATGCAAAGTCTAAGAAAATCACATTTTTTTATTTTTAATAGTAAAAACTTCGCATCCTGGAAAGAGAAAGCTCTTTTCTAGCGTTTTGTTACCTGAAAAATGCATTTCTGATGGCCGGTACCTATCTAGCACAGAAACAGCAAACTCCATTTTTGTTTCAGAGCTCATGTTTTACTCTCAGAAAAACACCAAAAAAAGTCAAAGTCACATGGCTACAAGAAAGGAAGAACACAAGAAGTTGGGAAAATATGTGGGCATTAAAATGCAAAAGTTTTCACAAATGTCATCTCCCAGCTTCTATCCTTGGGCATATTCAGGGACCCTCTGGCTCAGGTGTTATCTTTGTGCCACTGTGTTTAATAGCCATCAGCAGACCGTAAGAGCTTGTCAAATTTTGGGGGGATCATTTTATACATTTGGTTCCCATGACATCCCCTGGATAACATATTTGGTGATTCAGTTACGTGTTGTGAAATAGTTTCCTTATGTTTTCTTCAATCCTATAGACCTTCACATCTCTCCCACAATTTTAGGAAGAGAAATACTTCACATACACACAGAAGGATGAGAGTTTTATAGCAACACAAACCAAAACGGCACGACACATCTGCCTCAGAGGTGTAAAATATGCTCAGTAGATCTAACACTGAGATAGCCCCACCCCATCATAGTGTTTTTGGATTTCAAGACAGACTCATCACCATGCAGATTCTGTGGGAAAAAAAAAAAAAAAATTAAATCGTATCCTCTCATCCCTCTGTGGTAAGTCTGACCAACATCACCTACCAGCATGTAAAGCTGCAGCTCAGAGCACACGTGTTTGCTGACCAACAGCTTTCCACTTGTTGTGGCGTTCTGATCTTCAAACCTTACTCTCCTCTTTGCCATTTTCACATCTGAGTCCACCACGTAGAGAACGTATAACTGTGAAAACACTGCAAGATTTTCAAAAGCCTGTGTTAGATGTACCAGAAATTGCCCTCAGTGTCATATTTCTGAGGACAGTGTAGGACTCTGGATTCAATCAGATCACAGTTCCTTCTTGATGCACTGGTAAAGCTAGGATTGTGTCAAAAACATAGTTTTGCTGTAACGAATCTGTTATTTTGGAAAATTAGGGTTGACCGTCATGCTGGTGAGCAAGTGGACAACTGGTCTCGAGCTAGTCAGTGAAGAACAGATAAGGAAAGGAATCAAATATAAGTTTTTTAACAGAAACTCTACAGGAAAAATATTTTAAGAAAGCCTGGCAGCGAGAATAACAACTGCTCAGTATTTCCATGGTATTTCACCTGGACCAGGCCGGCCTGTTTACAGAAGTTCCTGTTTCTGCTGGGAATGTTCAGAACACACAAAATCCCAAGAGTCTGAGGGAACAGACAGCCAAAATATACCAATATGGCTCGAGTTTCAGAATTAAACACGGTGTTTATGTTTCCATTAGATAAACACATTATCTAGTGGTTCAAATTCTCTCTTTATCTACGATTTGTTTTCAAATACAAAATGTAAGAACAAAATCAAATCTGTCTGTCATGTCTTAGCCTTTGTGAACTGCATGGGTCACTCAACTACCAGATGTCTGATTGAAAATGAGGTACAGTACGTGAAGAAATTAGTTTTTATCTAAATGACCTACATTGTCAGTGCTGAATTGCAGACATCAATGTCGTCTTAGACCTAGATCTATGTAAATCAGTTCACGTTCACCATCTCATACTCGTTCAGAGCTTTAGACATACAAAGTCAAAAGCCTTTGCAACTTGAACTAAAGGCTTTACATTTTATCTAATTTCTAGTACTGGGAAAGATTATTTTATGTCCCTCTGATACTGAATTAAAAATAGAATCATTGCAGGGCTTGGAACACAGATTCTGTATTTGTCTTTGAAGCATTTCCCCAGCACACTAGAAAATAGCACTTACTACCTACCAGAGCACAAACACGTTCTCCAGCGATCCTACTGTAATACCTTTGAGACGATGAGGAGTGAAATTAAAGCCACCATCAACGGACTGTATACTCGAGTCCTGAAGAAATTTCAGAAGCTTTTTCTCTCTAAAAGGGGGGAAACATCAACAGATATGTCAGGATCTTTCTCCTGTCCTTGGGAAAATATACTTCTTTTCACAAGGCTGCTGTGCAAATGATTTTGTAACGCTCCTGAGATGCAAAAATACTGACCCTTGACTGACCCTGTAGCAGACAGGCAGGTTGCAAAAGGCTGTGCTGTTCTAGAGGCAGCACCTGAACCCAGCTCCTTTGCCTAAGCAGACAGGTGGATGATTACAGTTAAGGAGCAGCTCTGCTGCAGAAAGCTGTGGAGTCACATAAACCATCTGACATCTGCAAGTTTCTCACCCATCAACACAAATGAGATGTGGAAGTCCTTCCTCCCAGCCTCTTGCTACAAAAACACAAGCTTTTCCCTATCAAGGGGTACAGGAGGCAATTCTCAACAAGACACGTGCTTGAGAAAAGGAGCTCTGGACCTTGTCTTTATCACCATTAAAGATGTAAATGTTGCCAAAAGAGGAACAACTTGACGGGGGGGGAGGAGGAGGGGGGCTCCAACTGCAATGTCCTCAGATCCATCCCCAGTGATGTTCCCAACGCCAGGCACAGTAAACCCAAACCTTGCTGAAGGAGAGGTCACCTGTACGTTTAAGTGTCCTTTCAAGGTGAATGAATCCATCTGAAAAACATCCAAGAAGGAAATCCATTTATGTATGTATAATGTAGCATGAGTAGCACTTATATATACACATTTTAAAAAGAAATCTTTTTGCACACATGTTTAGAGGTGAACAATAAAGCCCTAATTTTAATAAATTTGAGATACCAGCTGACTCTCAGAACAAAAGGTTGATCCTTCTGCAGATTCTCGCACAGAAGCAGTGTCTGCGCAAGCCGGCACAGAGGCACTGTCTTAAATCAAGGGCAGATTGAGTTGACCCCCAGTTTATTTCACAAGAGAAACCATCCCATCTTCTCCCCCCTTTTACAGAAATAAGCCACAAGAGGGGGCACGGCATCTGAATTCGAACAGATGCCCGAGAGGTTTTCTGTTTCCAACCATCCTGGACGTGCTCTGAGCGAATTTTAACAGCGCACCAAAGAGGGTTTTCTCCTGGTCTGCTGTTAGAGTTCACGTCTCATTCAAAATGACGCAGTTAACTTATTATATAGCCTCTATATCGTGTAACAGATCCTGCAGCTAAGCCCAAAAACCGTTTTGTTTTCTACAGGCCCCAGGAAACACAGTTTTAGCAGCTACCCATGCACACATCTATTGCAGAAGACACTGCTTGGCAGAGCAATGTCTGCACCAATGAATTGCCAACGTACGGGCAAAAGATGTGATTTTATCACGCTGTGATAAGAGTATACCTCAGGTACAGGATGGTTTTATTTCTTTAGTTATTTCTCTTTTCTATTCTGATGACTAAGGCAGGACTGCTGGCTTCAGCCTGCAGTCCTCTACCATACAGGGAGAGCACGTTGAGTGAGAGCACAAAGGAGGAATGTTTTATTTGTCACTACTTAGGCATGGTTGGAAAATCCCCAACATGGAGTGTTTACGCTACCAGTGTTTTTACCTCTGTCTCCAGGCGATAGACGCAAACCCTTCCTTCTTCCCCTTGAATGTGATAGAATGGAGCTCCAACAAGGAGGAGACCGGTCACCCCATCATAGTTCACATCAAGTGGGCAGAGCTCAGATCCCAAATAAGATCCAACCTGTGCTCCAGAAAAAGACAGGCAGCTCTTTCACTGGAATTCTCTATATATAGCTTTGTAGAATTAGTGTCCTTTGCAGCACTAAGGCAATTTTTAGAACAAAACATCACATATCTACTTATATGTGTATCATTTCCTATTATTTATTTTATTACAGCCATCCTCAGGGACAGATCCTGTAACCAGTTTAGCAGTAACAAAATCATTATTCAACAATTTGACAGAGGAAAAAGAATACCACAGCTGACGACCTCTTTCCCCATGAACCATGAGAACAGAACATAAATATAGTACACCCCATTTAGCTAATTTTTTTTTCTCAGTCTTTTTGCAAATTTCATCATTTCTTCTTTGCCGAGGGATCTGGTGGAGTTGAGAACGGTCCGTGTGAGGTTAATGGTTGGATTAGATGATCTTCAAGGTCTTTTCCAACCTCAATGCTTCTGTGATGTTCCCAAAGCATTGCAGAGTGAGCCATGACTGTGTAACCCACATCTGGATAAATCAGATGCTTGTGTAAGGGTGTGTGTCTGGAGGAGGAAATGCAGCTGCAGTTTGAACAAACAAGATACGTGCAGCCCACCTGACCCCCACTGCCCTGAGTGCCCCTGGGTGAGAGAAGCACAGTACCTGTTCTCCTTGTAGGGTTTGTTTTAAGCAGCCATCCTGAAACACCAACACCTTCCCTCTCGTGCTCTGCCGTGGAGCTCTAGCCATGTCAAGGGTCTGTGTTCTGCGTGTACCACTGCCACACTGTACCCTGGTGCATTCACACAAGAAGCAAACATAGCATACAATATCAGTACCATACTCCATGCCTGGAGGAAAAAGCCCACAGAGTTTTGTTGGTTGTTCAATAAAATCCAAGAGTTCGCATCATGTCTAGTTGTTGTGGCCCATGATTTTGATTACAGAGCATCTCAAAAATATTAAGAAATATCAGGTAAATTTTATGAGAGAAAAGCCAAAGCTGAGGTTTTCCTTTCTTATCAGTTTGTAGGGTAATAAATTACTGCTCTGAAAAATACGCTTGAGCTCTTGATGACTTTTCTTAGAATTTGTCACAGTGATTATCCAACATACACAGTTTTTTTTCTTTTTATTATTATGTTTGCAAGGTGGAAGGTTTATCACCCTTCACAGAAGTGAAGAAAACACTATAGTCTGCATAGAAAACAAAAAGAGATCTGTTATGGGGCTTCTGTAACAGGGAGGCAATGGGAAAAGGATTATCGTGAGACAAACTCCACAGCACCTCATATTACCTCGTGAGACTTCATGGCCAGGGTTACAGTTGGGAGATACAGGGCTCAGGAGGCCACAAAGCACTGGGGTGTTGTCAAGGTCATTTCATCCAGGAGTATTTCCCCATCTGTAAGTACAATCGTGACCCTGGCTGCGTCCTTTTGGGACCTGTGACTTCCAGTGAAGATCAAATCCCTGATAAAACAGCAAAACAATGAACTTGGGGTGAAAGTTGAAGCTTCCCTTCTTGGAACAGAAGGAAGAGCCTTGCTGAATTACACACTTGCAACTAACAGCATGAAGGTAAGAGAATTTCTTTCTTAATTCACACATCTTAAAAATACCAGGTGCCACCTCCCTTTCTATTGCTTCCTGAGCACCCCCACACCGAGAATTAGGCACTGACAGCTGGCTTTTATAACCCTCTAAAACACGGCACAGGAACTGCTGCCTGACTTTCAACCACTGCCAGATAAACGACTGCTTTCAGGGCCTGGATGGCCATAAAGTCCCTCTCCCTTACTCATTAAATGCCCCAGATATTCATCCCCTTCATCTCTTACGCTCTTTTCTTTGTTACTTACAGGCCATGCTGCATGGCAGGTGCTGGTTTTGTCACCCTGCACACCTGCACAGCATCAAGCACTTTCTGGAGGGTGGCATGAGGATCCCAGTTTTCCTGCAGGTCAGACTCAGTTCTGATTTCAAACCCATACTGTACCATGAAGGCAGCAGCAGATAAGCACCTGCTTGTGACAACTGTTGATTCTGAGAAAGAGGGTTCTCTGCAACAGCTAGTCCAGAAATCCAAACAGAAACATTAGCCAGACTATGCAGAAAGGAATTTTTTTTCAGAAAAAAGTGGCTTTTCAATATGCCTAGTGTAGACACAGAGACTGTTGTAAGTATATTATAGCTGAGGAAAACGAAAGCACTAAGTACAGAGAGAAAAATTTTTTTGGAAAACACATTTGGTTTTAAGTCCTTGCATTTTCCTGCTGTCTATGGCCCACATGCAGGTTGCTGAGGGAATTATCTGATATTACTGAATTGTTCCTTCATTGCTCCCTGCTGCACATTGTCTTTCCTTGGAGTACTCCTACCCCACGATGATCTGATTATCAAAGTCTGGAGAATGGGACCACTTATTCGTTTTGTATTTGCACAACACATAATACAATGTTTCTTCATTCTACTATGCAAAAAAAAAACCCAAGTTAAAATATGCTGACACTTGGAGCATTTGAGAAGTAGAGACTTTCCTAAAGTTGGTGTGTGGGTCACACTTCTCAGCCTCAGTGGAGAAAGCAGTAGAGCATTTTCACACAGAATATGTGACTGGAGCTCATGAGACTGGTAAGGTGCATGGCGAAGAGGCAGTCTAATCAGCGATTGCAGACAGATGTTACAATATGGGAATAGAGACAGGAAACCAGAAGAAAGTCATGACTCACAAGAAAGCAGAGACGGTGCTCGCTGGGCTCCAAGCGCAGCAGCGTAGCAGAGCTGGGGATTTCTGAGCATACCAATCGGAATTTTTATATCTGCAGCATTCTTGGGATCAAGACTGGGAGTGCACTGCTAAGACATAAGCACAATTATGTCAAGAATACATACAAGTTGTGGAAGTGCTTTTCCATCCTACTGGAAACAAACCTGCGTAATTCCAAATTCTGGTGAAGAGGCAGCTTAAATAAAGCACAGCACATTCTTTAGCCTGCTGAAGAGAGAGAGTACCTCAAAGCACTTCTCATACAGTGTTTTCATCATCTTGTGGATGAATGCTTTTGCTCTTTCAAAATCCTTTGGCTCAATGCTCCCCGATCCATCCAGAATAAAAGCAATCTGTTCCAGAAGCTGCCCAGGATATGGAAAGGAAACAAATGAGAAGGCAATCAGCAGTCTTGGTCAGGAACAAGTTCTTTATCCAGCGTTATCGATCAGTGCACAAGTAATCTCACTCGAACAAGCAACTGAACTACACCACGACTGCTCAGCTGTCATTTCAGCACGAGCTACAGCTCAGGTCTGGTAGCTCACAGTAGAGAAACTCCCTAGACTTTGTCAGTCCGTGACATGATTCTGTTAAAAGCCACTTCACCACGTACAAAAGGCATTTTCCTCCTCTCTGTCCCCCATCCAGGAAGGGAGCTTGCTATCACCACTGTCATTAGTGTTCCTGTGCTCTTGTGCTTCAGTTGGAATATTCTCAGCTGAAACAGGAAATGTTTGAGCAAAGACCATAGGGCAGTGGGAGAGAAAGACAGAAGTAAACTAAACCTTTGCATTATTGCCTACAGAGCGTTCAGGCAGCAAAGCACAGGAACTCTTCCTCATCCCTACAGTCAATAGAGCTTTCAGGCACAAGACTACAGGTGCTGTGGAAATACCTGTGAGTTTTGAAGGCTGTGGGGATCAGGGCTGCATCTGAAAACTACAGCTACATGACAGAAACAGTGACCGTCTGTATTGTAAAGCAGTTTTTTCCATGCTGATGTTACGGCTGCAGGTCAGAGAACAAATGTGGTCTCTTGTCCACGCAGTCGGCTGGCTGAGGAGCACTGTTACTAGTGTAACAGAAATCATTTGTATTTGGTTTGCTGTTGCTCAGCAAGTGACTACAAGAACAGGTAAGACCTGGAGATGTATTTACATGCCTTGAGCAGTGAAACTACCCACCATCACAGATCCACTCTGTAAATTACAGAGAAGATAGATGTGTCAGGAGTGGGATTTCTTCTACCTGAATCACTCAGAGCCTCTCTCCAAGTTTAAAATCAAACTGTCAAAATCTTCATATGTGGACAGCACAAACCAGTCACCTCTAATTTTCTGCAGCTCTTCTGGGACCCACTGGTTGCTTATAAACTCTCCAATCTAGGGAGAAAAGCCATCAGAGAGGGAGATTGAACACCTTTCTTATACAAGACCAAAAACCCAATAAATTCCCAAATTGCCATTAAAAACCTGAAAGCTCTGAAAAGGGAGGGAACTTCCTGATATCTTAGTAAAGCAACCCTGATCCTAGATTGCATAGAAAGCCCTTGTGTGCAAAGAAAAAAATGTAATAAAAGCTCTAGAGCCACAGGACATACAGCTCTTTTGTTTCTAGGAAATATTCCTTAACCTCCTTCAAAATAAACTCTCTGGCATCAAGAAGATGGAGGCCTGAGTGAATCAAAGGAGCTAGGACCTCTCAGACTGGACATGCTGCAAGACCAATCCATGACCACTTTTTCTTCCACTCACTGCTAAAGCGTAAGAGCAGACACATGCAATGGACAGAAGCATTACTCTCCTATATATGTGCTTTGATGCCCGAAAGTGTGGCTCTGATGGTGCTTGCCAAGCACCCCAGGAGCACGGAGTTAGACAAGATCTAAAGCAGGATCCCTAAGTCCCTCAGAGTGCCAAGTTTAGTCCCACACTTTACTGCACAAACGCAGAAAGCATATATTGCAAGTAATAGGTATATCAGTTGTCCTTATCCCTCTGTCTCCATCACACATTTGTATTCCTGTGATCCCTTTTCGGATCCGCTCCAGGAACTGACTTCATTTACCTTGGCTCAAGACAACAATTTCTCTCTCTGACATTCCTGTATTTATCTATCTGGCTAGACCTTTTGTGACCACATGGCTCAGCCTCACTTTGTCCTCAGATTTATTTAAATCGTTTAAAGTAATGGCTTATAAGCCCCATTCCTTTTTTGTGTGTGTACTGTTTCAAGGTGTCCTGAGAGATTTGCCTAAAAAAAATATCTAAGCATGCTTCTGGCATGAAAAACACTCCTAGCTCTTCCACTTCCCTCTTCAGCTACTCCTCCTTGGCTCACTAACATTTAACTCTTGCATTAAAATACACAGAATTATTACCAGCATCACTGTGAAGTTTAAAAAGTAATAATGACGAGAACCAGTAGACTTTTCACTCTTCGTTAGAGCTCTGATCCATCCTGCCTATCAGATTATGAGGCTCTGAGGAGGTTCACACACCTTTGAGCATTTCTGCCACATTGACTTCATCATATTGAGGACAGAGGTCTTGGCGTTCTCAAAATCATCTGTCTTGGTGTTCTCTGATCCACTCAGAATGACAGCAATCTGTTCCCAGTTCTGTCGATGCAGTTAAATATAAAAGGACATTTGAAGGGACACACAAACAGCCTAACAATTTAGCAAGGGTTCAAGAACACTGACGTATTATTAAACAACCAAAAATTTGACTATAGCACCATCCAGCCATTCCGAAAGCAGGTCTAGCTGATGATGCTAGTGCCTGGTTTATTGTATGGTATCTATGCTGTAGTGACAGATTTTTTTTCTTTAAATCTCAGTTAGTGGTGGCTGTAACAATGACTGAAACCTACCATCACACATAACCTTCAAAACCTCAACCTTTTCTCTCTCCCACCAAATGAATGTGAGCTCTTTCAGCTAACACAGAAGGAAGTAATGCTTGTTCCTGTCCCGTACTTACCTCTGAACCTGTGGTTGTTTCCTGCACTGCCAAAGAGCTCACTACAAGCACTGCTGGTGTCTGTGCTGACAGAGCTACTGCGTCTTTGCTGGTTTTACTTGGAATGACATTTAATTTGGTCTCAAGTAAAGAATTTAAAAAGCAAGAAAAAAACCCCACACCCTACCTTTTGAAAATACTCTAATTAA